AGCCGGGCTCGGGCGGACGCCACAGCAGCCCCGGCCCCGGATGCCTGCGGCCGGCCACCTTGCCTCCTGCCCACCGAGCCGCTCCGCAGACCCAGGCCCTCTGCTCGTGCGAGCGTGGGCCCCGGAGCCCACGGCGGCTTCTCCCCAGCGCCCGCTGCTCCCGAGCCCGGAACGTCAGCGGCACCTCCCAGGCCCACGAGGGAGGAAGCTGCGGACACCGAGGCTGGGCTCCCATCTGTGCAGGGCGACCGTGTGAAGGCCTCCATCCCGAAGGTGACTTGGGGCTGGCGAGGCTGGAGGGGCCATGGGGGCTTCGACCCCACAGAGTGGAAGTTGTGTGCCGTGGCTTAAGCCGTGTCTGCCAGGGCCGCTGTGGCTGGGGTGTCAGGCTGACCCATGAAGGTCGAGCCCCTGGCCCAGAAGGTCACAGCAGTGGGGCATCCCTGCCTGAGCCCTGTGCCCAGGGACGGACAGGAGGCCATGCGTCCAGTGTGATGGAACATGAAGCCCGAGGCACCGCAGCTTGTCCCTGACCGCACGGCCTTCTGCACCCGTGAACCGACGGCGGTGTGCCCAGCAGCCTGGCCCCCACGGCCCTGGCCCAGAGCCCGGCCCCTGTCCGTCCACCGCAGGGTCACCCTCCCGGTGTGGGCACAGGCACGCGCTGCCGGAGGGGCCGCAGCGTTTCCCTTTCCGTGTGGGCCAGACAGCGGAGGTCCTCCGGCCCCCGTGCCCCGTCGCCCACCTCCCGCTCTGGCCCGGGACACTGCTCCCTCCCGCCCCACCCAGCAGGCTGCCCGCAGGAAGCCTGGCAGGTGGAGAGAAGGAAGGGCGGCTATTAGAGTCGCCGCCCGGGGCCACCGTGCCTGCCCTGCTTCCTGCCTCTCGCTGCTCGGGTCAAACGCTCTGGTCCATTTCCAGCATAAAAAAGTGACGTGAGACACCGAGACACGCAGGAAGCAGCAGGGCTCGAAGTGCATTCGGTCGGAAGGCAGTGGAGGAGATGCCCCACTTCAGCAGACCAGGGGTGCGATTCTGGGCTCAAACCAAACAGGGAAAGTGAGGCCCTGTGTGAGGACACTAGTCACCTAAAGACGCCCGTGGGGACTTGGGAGGGGAAAACGCTCAGAGAACAGTTCTCCATAAGCAAATTTATAAACCGAATCCGTATAAAAAGACCAGAACGTTTCCCCCCCCCAGCTCTAAATAAGCTAATTATAAAGTTCACATGAGAGAACAAAAGGACAAACAGCCAGGAAGCCCTCAGAGAGGAGAGGGACGAGGGGCACGGGGCCGTGGGTGGCCGTCGGCAGGGCGCCAGGCGCAGGAGAGCAGCCCCGAGCGGCCCGCGGCCCGCTGCCCGCGCGACGCACTCCGGGCGGACCGAAGAGCCGAGCGTGAGGCAGGAGGCGAGTGCCGGCTCCCCGCGGAGCTGAGGGGGATTCGTCCTGGGGAAACGTTTGTACAGTCAGCGCCTTCAAAAATACCTGCACCTTGAGGCAGAGCAGTGGCGTCGGGCTGGGCGGGGCGTGTGGCTCACCGTCCGGGGCTCTCGCTGGGCTGAGGCGTGTTTGGGAGTAGAGGTCAGGGTCGCACGACGTCGTGAATATGCGAGATGACACCGAAGTGCACACTTTATTTTTCTTTTGAAACTTGAAAATGGCTAAAAGGATGAACTTTATAACATTTTATCCCAGTAAAAATCGTAATTTAAATTAGGAATATTAAGATTCATATTTCTGATTCAAAAGAGCTTCATCGGCCCCCAAAATCAAGAAGACAAAAAACAAGAGAGAAATGCAAACCTAACTATCTGAAGATCCCGTGTCACCGATTAGATTGGCCCAAACCCAAATCTGACGACAGACGGCCGCCCGGGGCAGGCGGCCTCACACGGCCCGTGGGACACCACGGTGACGCACCTGGGCTGGCTGTCCTGCTCCCCGAAAGCATCCCAAAGGTACTCGGGCAAAAGCGCAAAACAAGCTCATTCACCGTGACATTGTCTGGTTAGCGAAAGACCGGAAGGACACAGGCCAGCGTGAGGGGACCCGCTGGGCAGGCTGGCCGTCCCCGCGAGGCTCTGCGCTGAGCGGGGCACCGCACGGGGCAGAGGCACCTGCAGCTGTTACGGTCACGGCAAGCAGGGTGCTTCACCACGGCAGAGCTCACCTGAGAACATTCAGTTTGTAGGGGTCAGTGAGCCTGTATATTGCTGGCGACGTAAGCCGTTAGAGAAATCAGTTATTCCAATTATAACGTATTTTAACTGTATCTTCGATGAGATGTAAAAACAGTAAAAAAGGTCAAACTTCGATCTGTAGTCTTATTAATAACTTACTATTCTGAAATAATTATGTGTGTCCTGTGGAATAAAGCAAATAACGTTGCAAAGAACCAAGATTTTCATCTAAAAAAAGGTATAATCAAAGAATTTAAGTAAAAAAACAAAACAATTATAATCTTAAAATTTGAATCGGAAATGTGGATGCTTAGTTTTCTTTTCTTTCTTTAAACAATGTGTTTGTCCCATGACAGGGTAGTTGAGGGTGGCGGGCCACAACCTCTGCAGTCTCCTATGGGCAGCTCGGGGAGACCAAGTGGGGGCAGGTTATGCAGCTGGCCCGGCCCGGCGCTGTCCGCAGGCGGGAGTCCCACCCCCAGTGAAGCTGCAGCTGTGGCACTGCCGCTCGGAGGCCATCGGGGCTGGGGCTCCGGCGGGCCACCTCCGGGACCATCCGAGTGCCTCTGTGGAGAAGAAAAGGGCTGCACTCGCCCAGAACCACCCTGGGTGTCTGCGCTGTTGGTTCGTAAGCAGAGCAGGTAGCGTGACGAACCGCTCAGCACGCGGCCATCGCCCGAGGGTCTCGGGTGCCCTATCCAACAGCTGACGGCGAAGGCGAGAAGAAAAGGGGCTACGCAGGCCGACGCGCCGGTGCCCGCACCGGCAGGTCGGGGGGTGCACACCCAGGCGGAAGCCGCCGTCACAGGCCAGAGCCCCATCCCCTACTTGTGCCTCGGATGCCACGTCCAGCGTCCACTTGCAGACCACTAGCGGCTCCCTGTGGCTGCCTCGCTGCCCGCGCCGCCTCCGTCCACTGCGACGTCAACGCCAGCTCCCCTGCGCCCGCTTTCCCGTGCACCCCCCTGGAGGCGTCCCGCTTGGCCTTCTCCCCGCCAGTGGGTTTCACGTGCCCTTTCTTACTTTTTCTCCCTTGATTCTAAGTGTAAAAACCTGTAAACTGCCCTTCCCGAGCATCGTCTGTCACTGAGACCTTGCTTCCAGGTGTGTCCTCAGCCCCTTGGCCCAGAGGTCTGCTCACTTAGGCTCCTCACAGGTTTGGAGGGTTCTTTCGCAGAGGGAAGGGGTGAGGCTTTCTGCAGCATTCTGGTGGGGCTCACTTCAGGACGACCAGACTCAGCCCAGGGGCAAAGGGAAGGCCTCCCCAGAGCCTTGCACTGGATGTGAAAAGTGAGTGGGTGACAAGCTGCCACTCCAGTGGAGGAGCTGCTTCAGGCTGTCACCCTCGCGGGGCAAAGCCTTCCAGTGGATGGTGGGTGGAGACAGTAAAGGGCCAGGCTGTCACCACCAGAGCCTGCTGGTTTTTGCCTCAGCAAAGTCAGACAAGCAGATTGCGAGGTTCCTCACGAGCCTCGCCAGGAAGAACCGGGACCCGTCAGGAAGTGTGAATCCACCAGGCTTTCCGTCCCACTCACAGACGACAGGAAACAGAGGAACGAGCCACACACTGCAAGGAACCCAGATGGAGCCGAACACAGCTGGGGACGCCCTCCAAGACTAGTGGCCCGCTTCCCAACAAGTCCCTGGCACGGTGGGGGGGGGAAGGTGACCAGGTCACCAGGTCAGCTGTTTGTTTCTCATCTCTCTGCTCTGGGCGCTGCCCTCCTGGTGCCCTTTCCAGCTGTGAGCAGGCAGGAGACCAGGACGCGGGAGTGGGAGGGAAGGGTGACAGTCCCTTCGTGCTCCCAGCTTTTTTCGGTATTGCTCCAGCGGAGCAGACGGCTGACGCCGGCCTCCGGGGCCTTTGGGAGGTGAGGAGGATGTGATGGCTCTGCCCTCACGACAGGATTGGTGTCCTTGTAACAGGGCTCCAGGGAGCGCCTTCGGCCCATGCCCGTGCGGTCGCAGTGGGGACGCTGGCTACGAGGCAGTGGGCTCTCACCGGACTGGATTGGCTGGCGCCCCGAGCTTGGGCTTCCTGCCTCGAGTGTGAGAAAAAAATTTGTTGTTTATAAGCTACTCATTTTACAGTATTTTTGTTATATCAGTCCAAGCAGACGTCAGAAATTGTTACCAAGAAGTGGGGGTGCTGCTGTAATCTCTCAAAATGTGGACGTGGCTTTGCAACGGGGGGACGGGCCGAGGTTGGGACTTTTTTTTGAGTGCGTGCCAGAAAAAGTCTGCATCGTCCCGAATGGGCTGTGGGGGGCGATTCCGATGTCCCAGGAGGCGGGCAGAGGGCAGGCTCGCTGTCAGCACCCCAGTGCCACGAGCGGGAGGTTGTAGAAACGGACGTGAAGGCGTCTCGGGTGGAAGTGAGCGCCGTGTTCTTGGAGCCTGGAATGGGGCCTTCACTGTAACGTGCGAAGTGTGTGGCCGAACTGTGTTCGTGTCCAGAGTCCCGTGGGAGGTAGGACTTGTGAGCCACGAACCTGGACACCTGGCTGAGGAAATTGCTACAAAAGAGCAGCCTAACCGACCTTGAATACTTACAGTGAAACGTGGGCGGAGAAGGAATCGGGCCTGAAATCTGCGAAGCTCCCAGCCCGTCCGCGGGCAAAGCTCGGTCCGCGGGCCCGTCCTGCGGGACGTGAAGGTGCGCAGACCTGACGAGGGCCGCAGCGGTCAGCCGCCTGGGGGAGCTGCCGCAGGCACCGCAGGGACACGGGTGCCCTCCCCTCACGAGCCAGAGCGTAAGGCTGCCGCCTGCGCTCCTGGGCCACTCCGTCTAGAGGGCACAGGCCACCTGTGTCCTCGAGGTGCCATTGTCGCCAGCCTGCAGAAAGCAGAAGCCACAGGGGCCCTGCCACCTCTGCGTATACATGAAGGACGCGTAGCCGGGAGCCTTGGGCTCACACCCAGCGGAGACCCTGGCTCGCCATGGGTGGGGCCGCTGCAGGCGCCCCATGAGGGTGACCGCAACTGGGCAGAGCCCCTGCTGTGCGACAGCGGGGCTGCGCCCAGCAAAGCGGGCAGGGGAGGGACCTCCACCCCAGTGGCCTCGGGGGCGGACGCCCAGCCAGAGGCTGCTGGAGCCTTGAGGCTTCGGCCTTGCTAGGACCGTCACTGCCTTCTTCACTTCTCCCTTCGGGATGGGGACCCCCATGCCCACCCCCACTGTATCTGGAGGCATGTGACTTGTCTGGTCTCACAGGTCCACAGCTGGAGCAGACATTGCCTCAAGACGCTCGTGCCTGGTTTACTCAGGGTGCCCGGCACAGCCTCCCTGGGCCCCTGGCCCCTGGCCCCTGGCCCTGCTTCTCTGCGGGCTCGGCACCAGCCCTGGCTCCTCCTCTGAGCCCCTGGGTGAAGCTGTTTGTCCCCAGCCCCAGCTCCCGTCACACCAGGTCTCTGATCCCGCTGTGGCTTCTGAGGCCCCGCGTGGTAAGAAAATAAAAAGGCTTTGTTTTTAAATGCATACCGAAGCATTTAGGGGCAAATGACACTATGTCTGCAATGTGCTTAAAACTACTCCAGCAAACAGAAGGAGGCAGACCAGACGGACCACTGGTGTGGGGAGAGCTGGGGGCAGCTACCCGGGGTTAGCGTGTGCCCGGAAAGTCTCACGCCCAACAAGAAAGAAATGAAACTAACACTATCACCGAGTAACAAAATCACACCCCTTTCGTGACGCTGACTGCGGGGGCCCCCTGCCTTGGGACGTGGTGCTGGGGCCGCTCCAGCTTGTGGAAAGTGACAAAAGAGTCTGTTCTGTCTTTGTCTTCAGCTTATGACTGACCATTCTCCTTAAGATTTACAAATATTTCTGACCTTTTCAAAACTGTAGGAAGAGTCACAGACTCACAGACAGACATACACACACGTCCTAATTTTTGTGGAAAGGCTCTGGAAAGCAGTCACCAGCAGAGGAAGAGACACGGTCTAAACACGTGATGGCACTCGAAATACTCAGCCGTAAAAATAAAAGCCTTTTATTTGGTTTTTCTACGAGTCACGGGATCACAGGTGACGCCTTCAAACCTGCGAGACCTGTGGCCACACCCACACCTGCTGCAGCGTCTGAGAAACCGCGTGTCACGACAGGACACCCTTGGCCAGGACGAAGCTCCGCTGAGTCATGGGGTCACCTTCTTATAGGTGATGTGAAGATGCTGAGTCATGGGCTGGGTAGTGGTCGCCATGGAGACTGTCTGTTCAAGTTTGCCTTCAGAATTCAGCCTGAATTTTCGGGTAATCTGAGCAGAACAAAATGAATACAAAGCACCTGAGTTTTATCTTCCAAAGACACAGCAAATGCCTGAGGTCCTGCTGAGTGTTCCTGCAGAGGGAGTGGGTGACACACTTGGCCGCAGAGCTACGGGCGTGCCAAGGTCCAGGTGTCCTGACCCCTCACCAGCACCTTTCCCAGCCCCTCAGCCGTCCCCAGACCAACAGATGAAGAGGAGCACGTGACTTGGTCCCGCCCATCAGACAAGAGCTGACCTTCCGGCCTCCCGTTCCCTCTGCGGCCGCCCTGAGGCTGGGGCTGTTCCTGTGACTCAGTGCCGGGCTTCTGGAACCACCCGCTCATCCCCACAAGTTACTGCGGCTGCTTCCGACAAGAACACCTGCAGCCGGCGACCCCAGTGGGAACTCCCTCACCGCCTGGGACACCTGCGAATGGCGTGCAAGCAGGGTGGCTGCCGAGACGCCCGGGGACCGCCCCTCCCAGTGTCCCGGACCGTGCTGGGGGCTCCGTGGTGGACAAACGTGCACCTCCTTTATAACTGCCCAACCCTCTGGCAGAGGAAGAGCCAGATTTTAAAGAGTCCGTTTTCAGGCATCCGAAGCCGCAGGCTCGGTCCCAGACAGAAGGGAGTGAGGCGGAGACCCAGCGAGGCTCTACACCTGCCATCTCAGTGTGCTCACTGCTGGCGTGAGCTCACACGCCACGTGGCTCACACCCACGTCACTGCACAACAACCCAAGTGTGGCCTCTCCTTCGGCCTCAGCGCCGTCTCTTTGTGCCGAATTTGTGAACACCGCATCTTGCTCTGGAATAAGCAACGTGGTAGCACGAAGCAGGTGAGCAAGAGACAGGGGGACAGGCCTGGGAGGGGACACCATAGCTGACGCTGGGCGACCTCTCCCCGGGCCCCAGGAAGGGCAGCGTGTGGGAAAAGCAGGGTGAGGGGCTGCCCTGTGCCGGCCGCCTGGGTGTCCACTCAGGCCAGCATCTCCCACCCACGGAGCGTGGCCTCCGGGGGCTGCCAGCCCACCTCGGGGATGACGGTGGCTTCACGATGGCAGCGCCAGTGCACAGGCTCCCAAGAGTCACCTGTGAGGTCCTGTGGGCTTCGTGGCCCCTTGGATGGAATTTCTTGTGCTACTTTCCCTCTTCACGGCAGAACAGTTTGTGAGGCGTAGAGCTGAGGCAGGTGGGCGGCGTCGCACAGGCTCAGGAGACCTCGCCCGGGGCCCAAGGCCTCTGGTGACAATTAGCGGCCCAGTGAGGGAGGTCACTAAGAACGGCCTTGTGGTCATCCCGAGGCTGCCACAGGCTGGTCCTCGGTCCTGCATAGCGGGGCTGGGAGCAAGTGTCGCCCTGGCAGAGCTGGCTCAGGCTGCACGGGGGCCCGCGTCCCAGGCAGCCCCGCGGTGGGGGCTGCATTCTTGGGCAGAGGCCGGTCAGAGCCTCTGAAGCCCCAGGAAGAGTCCACCTTTTTTGGGGGTGGGGGACCACCCAGACCCACCGGGTCAGAGTCTGCATCCCCACAGAAGCCAGATTCACCGCACGTTACAGTGCGGGAACAGGATGGGAGGCAGCTGATTTGCTTGCGGTGCGACCAGCAAAACACGAGCAGAGAATTTCTGACGACCCCTCGGTGGAACGAGCAGGGTTTAAAACACTGTGGTGGCCGGGGCTGGGGAGTGGCTGTGGCCTGCCCGACACTGCTGAGGGAGGGTGGGTGGCTCTCTGGGACATGGCGAAAGTGGGAGGTGACGGGGAGGACAAGCTCGAGGCTGTGGGCGCCCGGTCCTTCAGATCCAGCTCCGAGTTCGGGAGCCCGGGCTGGCCTTGCCGTTAAGTGGCCCTTACCTCTGAGACACTCCTACAGCCCCACTGGGACCCCAGGGATGGAGGACAGGTGAGGAGCAGGCCTGCAGGGCACCCGTGGCGCCCCGGGCAGAGGCCGCCGGCATCTCTGCGGTGGGCCCAGGTGACACCGATGAACAGCCAGGGCTGGGACCCCCTGCTCACCTCTATTCCTAGGACCACCGGCCACGTGGCTGCCAGCCAGTCACGGGCCTGACGTTCCCTCTGCGCCGCTGACCAGCGCCCAGGCCGGGAGCTCACAGTGAGCAGCCCCGGCCCAGGACGGCCACTGCCCCACGCTGGCCGCAGGGACGGCGCACAGCACGCCGACGCGTTTCCTCATGCTACAGGGCTCGACCCCAAGTGAACGGCGCCGCCAGCAGGCAGC